CAACACAGAAGAAGTCAGACATTCATAGAAGAAGAAGAGATTAAATATAGTTGTTAATATTATTAGTTATAGTTACATACAGACTAAAAACAACACAGAAGTCAGACTGAACAGTAAACACAACACAGAAGAAGTGAGAGATTTAGATTAACATAACAAAGAAGTTAAAGAGTCACATAAGAGATCAAATTATATATAGTTATTATTATTATTAATCACAGTTACAACTAGACTACAGACTGTTGGCTTAGAAATGATTTATAAGTCTGTTTTTTGGGGAATTAGCTTATAGGTATAGATATGTGCATTATAAGGGGTCAAGATGGGCAGCAGGGGTTAAATGGATTTCTAAAGAGCTTGGGAGACACACACACAGCTTCTCATGGTCCTGGAAGCAGACAGGCTGTCTATCTAGCACAACAGGACCAACAAGAACATAGTCTAGGAAACAGCCTGGGAACCAAAGGAAGTATGTCCCATAACACAAGATAAGTGACACCAGCAACAAGGCCGCAGAGAGCAGGGGGACCTAAGTCTTGGTTTTGGGGGAACAGACCAAATTAGGAGAAGGCCGGGAAGGCTATGTGGACATGTGACCACAGAGAGACAGCTAATCAGAGATAGCCATGGATGAAGATTCATCAGGAATCATCAAGGGGGAAGGGAATACAAAAGCAGAGACTTGAGATTAACAAAGGGTCCCTCCCTTTGTCCTGTCCCTCCCTGTTTTACTCCCTGAGGGGGGTCCCCATCTCTGTTCCCCAGGAAGGGTCCCCGAGGTCACCATGGCCTGAGGGCATACCAGTAGCCTGTCTTTGGCACCCCATTGGAGGGGGGCTGTGGGTCTCGGCATCCCTCCTCCAGACTGCTGACAGCTAAGAGAGAGAGCCTCAGAGTGAAGACTGCATCCTGACCAGATGTACCTTGACTGATGACAGCCCTAGGATTGGTAGATATAGAATTGTTTGATTGTTTTTATTGTTGCTTTTTTGTTCTTACTCTGTATTAATAAAACTTGTCTATTATTGACTGGCAGGTGTTGTGGTTGGTCTGAGAGTTGTGCCCACCTGGAACAAAGGTATAGGTGCTGGGTCCAAATCCAGTGTCAGCACAGAAGTCAAATACTGATTAACACAACAGAAGTCAGAGAGGAGGAGGAGGAGATATTATTTCCACACTACACAATACAGAACAGTAAACACAACACAAAAGAAGTCAGACACTGTCATATACCAGACAAGAAGGCGGCATATATTCTATTATTAGTTAGTTACACACATAGACACATTTTGCAGCACAGGAAAGATTAATATGAAATGTGCTGGAAAGGCAGGTGTCAGGGCTTCTGGCAGGGGAGGGGGAGGGGCTCGAGGGGG